TAGGGGGTTGAAGAAAAATTAATTATTATATAACCGAAAGATGGGAAAAAATCAAAATCAGTTAACGTGTTTCGGCGTTTTAAAAAAAATTAACTCATTCAAAAGATATGAATTTTATTCCGTAATTCTGGCCATCCCTGTATTATTGCAGTAATTTGTCAAAATGGGAAATTAAAAGGGCACTAGCCACTAGAGAGTTACTTGCTCTGTTAGAAGAGGATTCAGATTGTGAAAATGCTGATTCGACTGATGTTGCTTATGTGCCGCCAGAAACAGATAAAATTACAGATAAGGAAAATATGATAATACTATTGAACAAGAGGGATTGCAGACGGATATTTCAGGAACGTATGAAATACAATCAAGTACCTATAGAAGTTTGTGATGATGATTCGGAAGATGACGTTTCACTGAGCGAAATTTCAGCTAAAATTTCTTCCGGATTTAGCACTCTCTTTGAGGAAATATTACGGAGATACAGAAAACACCGATGTTGCTTCAAATACCGCAATATTCAACTGAACCCATGGAAGACCATCTCAATTCCCTCTACCAGGTGAAGTCAGATTTGACAAGATCTGGCATGCAAGAAAAAGTGTCGATTTTGCAAAAATAATACTATTTATTTGTGTAAAGTGCATTTGCATCCAGCTTGCTTTGAAAATTTTCACATAAAAAACTCATTTAGTTTTATTAATTTTAATAACTGTTTTCAGCCAAAGGTGCGTATACGCACCTATGTGTGTTTTTTTTTCAAAATACTATATAGGATTTTTTTAATAGTAAATTAGTCTTAATGTATGTGTTTTGAATACCTTAATAAAAATAATAATTTAAAAATGTATTTTTTCTTGTCTCGGCCAGTAATGGGTTAAACCTGCTGTTGTCAGAAAAATTACATTAATCTGTTCATAAAATCATTTTTGGAAAGTTGGGATTATTATTTGCATTATTTAAGTACCAGCGACAAAACTGTATTCTTTGTTTAAATTTATTTTCATGATGTTGAACCAAATTCACCTTGCAAGGAAACAGTGTATGTATATGTAAAATTTTATACACAACGTACTCTACTCAGTTAAATTGTGATTCCTGGCTAATTCCCATATGGAAGAATTCGGACTTTCTTGCACACTTAATATGAACTATAATTCTTGATTTTCATTGCAAGCATATTCTAAAGAAACTCTTTTCTTCTTCAGCGTTCCATACTGTCTTAGATTTGCTTCAAGTTCACTAAACTTTCTTCTATTAGGATAACGTTGTCGATATAATTGTAAAGCTGTAACACTGTTTTTTCTACATTCATAATAAACCTGCAGCATATCAATTTCTTCATTAAAATGATTCATTTTGTTATAAGTTAAACTTGAAAGGTGACAACAATTACAAACAAACCGATATGTGACCGATATGAGCTTTATGCAAAATTGTTTTTACAGCACCTAAATATGATTTAGAAAGCGAGCACCGTAAACTAAAGTCAAAGGCTGAAAGTTTTCTCATTTTTTCTCAAAAAATTCGTTATGTAAAGGCATACAAATTTTATATGGTTGGAAAGAAAATAAAAAATCAATAAAAGCCTGCAAAAATATTTATATAATTCCATTTAAAAAAATATCTATGACGTCACCACTCATCTACAGTCTGGCGAAAAGAAAATTGTGCTTCAGTATAAAGAAAATAATATCCCATTTAAAAATATATACAAATATATACTTTACAGGGTTTCCAAAAATGGGTAACCTTCGGAGCCTTTATAATGAAACAGTCTGTGTTTGCCAACACTTACTATCGAATCAAAAAAAAAATAGGCAGGATATTCCCATTAAAAAACAAAATGGATGTTGTAAATGGTGAAGAAGTTTCTCAGTACCTACGTCCTAATGTTTGTTCATACGCGTAGGCACTAATACTATTTGTACTTTTTCGTCTAGCAAACTTAAACCAGAAACAGCTTACCATTACCTTGCGTCAAGGAACTCTCTACAACCTGTGTAGCAAAATCCTTAACCGTCTCGCATAGCCGCTTCGCTGAGTTTAAAATGACTGAGGTTTCGTCCGACTGTAAAATATTCTGCAGATGGGAAACCAAGGAGTCCTCGTACTGGGTGATCTGGCTGTGTAATTGACCTTCTGGCAGGCCGGGGGTAAGGGATAACTTTGGCATGGCTATTGTGCGTTCGAACGCCATGATGCTCCACCGGTCCAACATTTTTGTACTTGCTTTTTCGTACTTTTCCAGCAACTGGGGTAGGTGTGTGTCGTCGTCGCACGATGAACCCCAACCTAGGACTCGGGCTAAATCATTTCCGGTTCCTAATGGTAATACTGCTACTTGGCACTGTTTCTGAAACAAGTTATCGATTAAGCTGGGGCCAAAGCAATATGAAATGTAGAAATATACAGCGTGCTCTTTAATTAGAACCCACTATCTAGATTTTACTTTGCAAAAAATACCAGAAAAGGCGTCACCAGCCCTCCCATGAAGATGCGCCTCTGTTTATTCAATATCTTTGGAACTTGTAGGAATAAATAAATTTAATTTTATAATTCTACTATTTTATTCTCGACGGGATTTACCGATCGTCTCTTTAAAATTCGATTTCGATAGGTTGTGAAGAAGAAACAAAAATTACAACTCTTTTGTGGTGAGCTTTTTCTGAGTTTGTTACTGTTTCCAGTAATATCAATATTAAAACTAAAAAGAAGGTTTAAAAATTACAAGTTCGATAAAACCTCCTAAAAAGGGGACTGTAATTCTCTTAGAAAGCATTTTCGAACTTAAGTATTTATTAGAACTTTTTCATTTATATTAAGCTGTAGAATCTACTGATAATACAACATTCAAGATCGATTTTATTTGAAAACGGTACATTTTATCGCAATCAAGCAAGAGCTTCGTCTTTGTCTAAAAATTATCCTAAAAAAATTGCGGAAGTTTTTACCGCCACTCCATCAGTATCGATTTACAAATCAAATCCTCAGAGGTGCACTGTCAAGGGCCTGTTGCTCTTTTAGGAAGCATCTTCGAGATTATGTTTATTAAAACTTTTTTCTTATTTTTTAATCTAATGAGAAAATTTGGTAGGCTAATTATGAAGCATATATCTCTTGATAAAAATAAGTAATAATTATTGTTATATTATAACTGAAATGGAGGATTTCCATAGTCACGTTTTCTGCATTTATACTACTGATCGAAAAAATTTTAAGAAGAACAAAAGCATTTATTAGAAATAGTTTATCCAAATATCCAAAAAAATGAGACTTTATCCAAATAGCTAAAAAAAATAAAAAAAAGAATATCTGATAGATTATTTGTGACGATTGAATCTTTTCGCAGTGCCGTTTTATTTAAATTTTAGCTGTAGGAGCAACTCCTATGAGAAACCTGCATTATACCAATTTTGAAATTTATATTTTTAATGGTACTTAGGCAATCCATCAAAAACAGTATTTCACACCAAAAGCATTGTAGAAAAATCGGTTATAAAAATGTTAGGACTAGATTTTTTAAATTTATTTTGACACGAAGAGTCAGTCTTTATAGTTTATCGCAAAGTCTCTGATGTATAGACAACCACAACTAACAAAAGGGGTAAGTTAGCAAGTATAAGGATATTTAAAAATGCCATCAAAATATTTTATTTTGAAACGTCTAATATAGGAATTTAATTTAAAAAATTTATTTGCACAATAACTTTTCTCAATACATTTAATCTTCAAATAGAGCAGCATGATGGCGTGTTTTCATAAACAAACAGAATGCTCTCTACCTCTATAACAGTTTTTGTTTTTCTTGTTTCAAAAAGTACATTTTTCAATACAATTGGTCTCCAAATAGATAAAAGATGTACAGCAGTAGAAAGATAGAAAACTTTCTAACTCTATAACAGTTCTGTATTGCTGTATTGTTAGTACTTACAAAAGTAGGTTTATAATACATCTATTGCTTTATCTTTTTTCTAATAATGTTAAATCTGCGCCCAGGTAAGGATCCTTCTCAGAGAAAGAAATCTAATAGTTTTGATTAGAAACATACAGGGTGTCCCTGAAAAGGATGCACAACGCTTGACCACAGGTTCCTTGGATGAAAATAAGACTATTTAGCCTAACTTACCTATAAACAAAAGTGCACGCCTACTGAGATATAGCCTTCTAAATATAGCATAGATAACCTAATTTTTTCAAATAATTTGAAAACTATTTTTCTTAGAATGTTCAAACTTGGTACACTTATTTTTTTATATAAGGGCAAGGTAAATATAGAATTTGGAGAGAATACATATACAGGATGTTCTATTTCTAGTGCCTGTGCGCCACTGACTATCCCGTAACTTTTTTGTGTGTATGCCAATGGCGACAGAATTTATATTTTAAAAAATAAGCTCTATTTTAGAAGATTTTTTTTGCTCTTACAAAATTTCGATATCGTTTGTGGATTTCGAGTAAAATTCGCATTGTTTATACATTAAATATGTAGGTATAGGCAAAAATTCCAATTTATAAAAAAATAAGTTATACCTGCAGCCTCAAAGAAGGGAATAATAATGAAAAAACGTCACATTAAAAAAATAACTACACATTTTTGGTATTAGTATTATCAATCAATAAAATAAAAATTAACACTAATATTTTAAATAAACAATATTAACTAATAATGTAATAAAGTCAACATTAACATTTTAAATAAACTGATATTTGTAATCACATTAAAGTAATATTACAGTAAATGCTCAAAGTTACTTTCTTGTTCTTAAACATTAGTTCTTCGAAAATTAGAAATTATCCAATAATTGTGCATTACCTCTCATAACATTAATTTCATGTTGTATTCTTTCCCATATTCGTTTCCTGTATTTACTGAATAGTTATTTTAAACTGTGGTCTTTAACGCTCCCCAAATGAAATAATTACATGGGTTTAGGTCCGGGGATCGAGGTGGCCATTTTAAAGGGGCATTATTTCTTCTACCTATCCACCTGTTAGACCTTTAATAACCTGTAATAGTTGTACTCTGTAATACCTGTATCCTGTAATAACTGGTCTTTTAGTACTCTATTAAAGGAACTTTTTGAAAGCCAACCTCTGCCGCTAAACGCCTTTTATTTACTTGAGGAATTTCTTCGACCCTTTCCAAAATTTGTTCCTCCAGCTGAATAATTCCGGCCGTACATTATCCAGGATTAAATGTTACAGGTAAAAAACGTCCTGTTTCCCGAAGGCGTCTCTCCGCATTAGCAATTTTTTTGTGATTTGGAGTTCTTCGATTAGGAAATCTTTCAGTATATGTTCGAACAGTAGCACAACAATTTCCTTCACAATAACCCAAAACTACTAACATATCAGTTTGTTCAGCAAAAGTATAAATTGCAATAAAAAACAAAGTAAGCTAAAATTAAATTACAGCTAACTTGACACAGAACCTTTTAATTATTGTTATGAATTTATTTCTCTGTTATATGACACCTCGTACTAGAATGTTCTATTTATCTTAAACTGATTTTATATTATTTAATGTGTGAAAAATGATAATTTTACTCAAAATCCATAAACGATATCAAAATTTTGTAAGAGGCAAAAAATCTTCTAAAATAGTGCTTATTTTTAAAAATATAAATGCTGTCGTCATTGGCGTAGATATAAAAAAGTTATGGGATAGCCAGTGGCGCACAGGCACTAGAAAAAGAACATCCTGTATATGTATTCTCTCCAAATTCTATATTTACCTTGCCCTTATATAAAAAAATAAGTGTACCAAATTTGAAGTTTCTAAGAAAAACAGTTTTCAAATTATTTGAAAAAACTAGGTTATCTGTTCTATATTTAGAAGGCTATATCTCAGTAGGCGTGCACTTTTGTATATAGGTAAGTTAGGCTAAATAGTCTTGTTTTCATCAAGCGTTGTCCATCCTTTTCAGGGACACCCTGTATGTGCCTTCATCAGATGAGAACATTGGACACTGGCAAAACATTATCGAACAAAATATTTTCCCGAGTTTTAAACAACTACTAAAAGTACTTTTTCATGAAATATTGTCAATTTACTGTAACTTTTTTAAATATTTTGTACTTTTCTCAATCTAGCGCAATCACGAGGTATATCCACAAAGTAGCATATAATGGCAGTATATGAAAAATTTACATATACAGAAAGGTGCGTCAAACACCATTTTCCCATGTAGTTGCTTTCAACCTCAATACACTTTGGGAGCAGAGTAATGAGCCTTCTGATACCTTCGTCAAAAAAAATCTCTCACCGTCTCTCGGGCCTACTGTTTCACGGCACTGTGGACCTCATCGTGGATAGAAAACCTTTTTCCATCCATAAACACCTTCAGAGAAGAAAAAATATGAAAATTAGGTGCCAGGTCAGAGTTGCGAGCGGGGTGGTTGATGATGTTCCAACCGAATGAATCCAAGAGTTGTTTTGTGTAGTTGGCTGTGTGGGGACGTACATTGTCAAATTGTCATGCAACAAGCACACCCGCGTCGTTAACATCCCTCTTCTTAGTTCTGTATCGTACTCCGTAGTGTTTTCAGAGTGTCACTGTACCTCGCAGCATTAATTGTTTCCCCCTGGGAGAAAATGTTAGTGAAGAGAATCCCTTTACGGTCCCAAAACACAGTTACCATGATTTTTCGGGCCGAAACAACGATTTTGAATTTTTGTTCACTGATGGAGGATACGGATGTCGCCACTGCATTGAGTGTCTTTTCCTCCCATAAACAGTTTAGATTTCGTTACACATCTGGAACGGTGCCTTTCCGATTGCAAGAAGAAACCGGATAACGCTCCTCACCTCGCTGCTGGCGGGTTTTCGAATAGCGGCACTGATTTCAACACGGCACTACAACAACAGTTCTCAATTAACTGAGACAAATAAACGTGCCTTCTACTGCCAACGTCTTGGCCTTAAATGTAGTGTTACCAATTTTGTCTAAAACAAAAACTACATAGTATCAGAGTCTTAGTACTCTTACNAATACTCTATTAAAGGAACTTTTTGAAAGCCAACCTCTGCCGCTAAACGCCTTTTATTTACTTAAGGAATTTCTTCGACCCTTTCCTGAATTTGTTCCTCTAGCTGAATAATTCCGGCCGTACATTATCCAGGATTTAATGTTACAGGTAAAAAACGTCCTGTTTTCCGAAGGCGTCTCTCCGCATTAGCAAATTTTTTGTGATTTGGAGTTCTTCGATTAGGAAATCTTTCAGCATATGTTCGAACGGTAGCACAACAATTTCTTTCACAATAACCCAAAACTACTAACATATCAGTTTGTTCAGTAAAAGTATAAATTGCAATAAAAACAAAGTAAGCTAAAATTAAATCACAGCTAGCT